GGACAAAATGAGGAAAGTTTTAAACGGGAGCGGAGAAGATGAGTAATGAGTGAAAGGGAGATTAGAAAGAATTAGCACGCACCAAGAGGTGTTATAATGTGGGAGAGAATGAGAAAACATAGGTACGAAAACGAAGGGTGAGAGAGAGTGGAGGGATGTGAGGGAGTGTGAAGGACAAGAAAGGAGAGCGGAGGGTACGCGGTGAAGCTTAGGTAACAGTTTTTGGTAATTAGAGACGAGGTGCGAGGCGGGTGAGGCAGAAGTGATTTTGTTTTGTGTGCAGTTAGTAAGCGTATGAAAATATACGTTTTTGAAAAGATAGACGGAGGTGTGTGGAAATGGCGAAAACGTTATTATGTTGTAGGTTTTAAGTTAACTATACATATTGTTTATGGAAGGCGGCGGTACATACAGGTGAATGCAGGAAATCCGCTGAATTCATAGGCTGTTCTATATTTTTGTTTTGTTCAGAATGTAGGAACTTTTGAGATTTTGTGTCTTAGTTTGCATAAATGTTTTACTTTTGTTTGTAAATTTTATGAGTTGATTTTATGTATTTTTTTCTAGTTATTTGTAAATTATTTGTCATGTTGTATATGGGAAACGGAAGTTCAAGCCGATGTATCCCATCGGGGACACAATAAAGGCATTATTACTACTACTAATATAAATTTTTCATCTTCCACTTAGTTTAACAGAAAATTAAACGATTAGAAATGATACAAAGTATAACAAGTCAGACACAAAAGTTATTTCTTATTTAATTTATTAAACCTCCTTGGTGCTTGAATATTCTTTATATTTGTATTAATATTGTTATTAAAAAGGGTTGAAACTCAGCATTAGACATGATTTTTATTTTAACATTTGATTCGGTATTCGACCTGACGATTGGAAGGGGTAGCAAAGTATTGTTAAATCGTTAAAGGGTGGTCGTCCCGGGTAAAATGGCGACGGCTATGAACTTTGGTGACCCCGGTTGACCCCTCGGATCGATACGTCACCACCTGCCATCCTCCTCTTTACCCAGGTTTCCACGGAGGAAAACCTTCGAACATTTGGAATTCGCTGGTTAACCGAAAGCTAACAAATATTGATTTGAACATACAAGGTATTAAGTAAAAGTGGTCCGTCTGCCAAACATCAATTCTTAATTCAGGAGATTTGAATAAAAAATAAACAACGCAAAGACATTAGCATTTCGTAAAGATTTATTATCGAAAAAGTTCGAGTGCATATATCTTGTGTATAATAATAATAATAATAATAATAA